AGATGTTTATGTCGTAAAGCTACACCAACAACATGTCCATTAGTGAACATCACCACGAATCAACCCTTACAGTTGGTATGCATGGATTATGTTTGTGTGGAGGAAGCAAAGGGTGGATATGACAGCATTCTTGTGATAACCGATCATTTCACCAGATATGTCCAGGCCATTCCGGTGCGGAACACCACAGCTAAAACAACAGCAAAAGCGATTTTCGACAACTTTATAGTTCATTATGGAATTCCAAAACGACTGCATAGTGACCAAGGTCAGCAATTTGAAGGAAAACTCATAAAAGAACTGTGTAAACTCACCGGCATGGATAAATCAAGGACTACTTCATATCACCCACAAGGAAATGGCCAGTGCGAGAGATTCAACCGTACTTTACTAAATATGTTAGGAACACTTCATCCGGAACAAAAGTTAGATTGGAAAACCTATGTCGCTCCTTTGGTACATGCGTACAACTGCACAAAGCATTCTGCCACAGGTTATTCACCATTCGAACTAATGTTTGGAAGAAAGCCAACTCTAGCTATTGATGTTGTACTAGGTCTGGTCAACAATGAAGAAGAACATACATCTTACAATACTTATGTAGAAAATTTGAAGGATAAACTAGAACATGCCTACCAAACTGCATCATCAGAGGTAAGTAGATCACAACAACAACAGAAGAAGAGATATGACATTCGAGCTAGAAGTAGTATATTAGAACCAGGAGATCGTGTGTTGGTCAAACGACTTGCGTTTAAAGAAGGCAGACACAAGATTCAAGACCAGTGGGAAACTACTCCATATACTGTATCCCGACAACCTCACCAAGACATTCCGGTGTATGAATTAGTTTGTGAAGACACCAGTAAAAGATCAAGAACTCTACACCGCAACCATTTATTACCGATCAGCACAGTACCAACACTACCAGTATCAGCACCAAAACCAGTTACTAAACCCAGAAAGACCAGAAAGGAACCGGTACCAGTATCAGTATCTGTAGATGACAGTGACAGGAGTGACAGTGAAGAGGAAGAACCTGTGTCCATCATGGATGAAGCAGATTTACTGCCTCAACCTAGGGCCATGGATGACACAGAACAGGTTGGCGAAACAGAACCAGAACTTGAGACTACAGTTGTTCAAGATGGTGAAGATAGGCCGGTATCACCAGTGTCTGAGTCTGTATCGTCGGAAGAAGATCCGTTCTCTACTGAACCTGAAGTTACCAGAACTAGAAGGACTGCAAGGGAAAGAAAAGTACCTGAATGGCATAAAGAGTATGTGATGTCCAGCCAGACTACAACAACTTCTGTTTTGAGGAAAGCTGAATTGGTCAGATCATTACTGCCTGCAGATTTTATGTCATTATCACCAGAAAGTTTACGAGTGGTGCTGGAAACTTTACCCATGCTGTGCCAAACCTTATTTCCAGAAGTTTTCAAGAATGCGAGTTGAGGACAACCTTTCTCCTTGGCAGGGGAGTATGTGACAGAGTGAAGATTTATTTTAATCTATTTGTATAATATATGCTATTTTATTGTATAGTGTTCTTTTTGCACAGTGTCCTTTTATGCATGTTTTAACACAGTGAGCACATTTAACCTTACACACCAAGTATTGCTATAACATCTTTATCACCCTTGTCTGTCTCTATAGTTTTCTTGTGGACTGGTGAGTAGTGTTCAACTCACCATGTGCATGTTCTCTCTTATCTGAACATTCATTGGTCACCTGACTATTTTGACATTCTTACTTTAGATTTTGTTGGAGAAAGATCACCTTCTGATTTTCTCCAGGTATCTACTAGTTAGTTAGTTTTGGCGGGATTTTGGTATTTCATCAATATTCCAATTTCTATAATTAGCTTTAGTTTGATATAGTATAGTGTTTAATAAGGTTACAGATGAATTAAATAGGAATTACAGATTCAACAGCAGGTATGTGTAATGTTTAAGTTAATAATTGTTTTAAATTAGGTACCAATATATTTTAACCAGTAATAGTAATAGTAGTTTATAGATTGGCAGCCATCTTGAATTTTAGTAAAAGTAATATTTAAATGTTTCATTTAAATTAAATATCTTGAAGTTACAAAGTATCCTGGGTTAGTACGTTATCTTATATTACCATTGAAGTCTTTCACTTCAATATTATTTACCATTCACATATTTATAGATGTGTATAACTTTACAGGTTTATTGGAAGTGCTTGCCACCATCTTTTGGCTTCCAAGTGGTTGGAAACCCCCTTTATAGGGTAAGCACCTAGCCAGTCAATTATATTAGTAATTAAGTTATATAATATATATATATTATAAGTTAGTAATTAATATATATATATTTTAAGTATTATTTCAAATCATTCATTATTATATTATAAATTAGATCTATGGAGTCGTATAATATTATGTTTTTTTGTTTATCTGTGATATTTGTGATTGTAATGTTTTAATGAATTGGTGTAAATGTTATGTTTTATTTATAGTACGTATTTATGTATTTCAGGGTTTTTATTGTGGTTATTATTAATAAACCGATTTATGCGAGAACCTGAACCCTTGTGTCTTTTTCTTAATCCGGAAATTGCACCCTACAACACAACATAGGTAAAGGTACGAATCAATTTGAGGTACGAATGAACTAAGTACGAAACAGCCAGGTTACGAAACAGCCGACATCCCACTGATGTCATGTGATGATAATTTTAATAATAATCGTTTCATTCGTTTGACGTTTGACAATCTGCAATAAATTCATTCTTTGCCATGAGTGCAGTTTGCCTACATCAGATGCGGTATGATTAAGAATACTCACTCAGTCTTCAAAATAAAGCATCGAATGTTGTGTTTATTTTTCAACAAAAGTCTTCAATAACAAAAACAATAATAATACCGGCGGTAACATAATATTTTCACTGGGGACTTCCTGTCGAATTTTGTCTTGATTTTCCAGGTACGCCCGCATTCGGCCAACATCGGTGGCTACAGGTGTAGGGTACCGGATCTGCCGAGGTTGGCCGACTGTGCACGCCCGGATTATGCAAGCCACGTTTCAAGGGAAGTAATTCGAGATGTCAGGATAAAGTCCACATTTCAATCTAATATCAAACGAAAGTAGGACACCATTATAACACCCAGATGGACTCATTCCTAGCGAATATTCGTTGCTGATCGGTGGTAGACCCTGCGATTAAACGGCGGAAAAAAGTTGGAAAGGAGTATAGCGAAATTTATTTAGGCTTCAATGTTTATGGTAAATGGATAGCAACTAACGACCAATACAAGCTATATTATTAATGGATTCACCTTCAGTCAATTCATGTGATAACAATGTTCGGATGGATAGTTTCATAGGCTTACGGACCAGGGGGTGGCGGGGGCAGCTGCCCCAAGACTTTCGGGCTTTCTGACTTTTCGGGCAGACGGGTAATTTTAAAAAAAAAAAAAAATATTATATCATCTAGTTGGCAAAACCAAGTGCTCGAAATCTAATAAGACTAATTTTACTCAATTTTTAATTGAATACCGCAAATTTGTTCTGAATTGACGATGAATTAAAACATTTTTTCTGTAAATTGTTTAATCCGTATATGCAGATGTTTGTATGAGACTAAAACCTGACACAATTATAACAGATTTATTTCTGGCGACGTTTCGATGAGGGGTCTCTCGTCTTTATCAAGTAAAGAATACATCGCCAGAAACATCTTTTAAGTAACTTGTATTCCACAAAATTTGTGTCGTGCTATTTGTATGTAGCCAATCTGCTTTGTGCGACACTTTCGGGCATCTGGTTTAATTTTCAACATTTTCTTGGGGAGTGCGAGGCCTCCATACCCCGCGACGATTGGTTGATTGTTGGGGATTCAGGTCAGCCACCTAAGCTAGGCTATACTGGACTACATTGAAGTTGCTGTATTCACGTTTGCGGCAGTGGACTGTAAACGGTTCATTAGTTGATTGGAGTGGGGCCATACAATCAAAATAATCACACTTTACTTTTGTTGTAAATGAAATGAAATGGGGTTTAACGTCCTACTGTTCTGCTCCTATACTGGGCTAATGAAGACGGCCATGCATACGCCATACAGTCTGCTATGAGGGAAATTTTGCCCGGGCAGCGGCACTATCGCCTATCGAATTCCAACTGCCAAGGGATCTTTTACGTGCATTCCAATGTATACACAGGACCTCGGTTTTTCGTCTCATCCGAAGGACTAGATAGCTGTCCTTGTCAGGCCCTCCGTTCTGCACCACTGACAAGGGGAAACCACGTCGGAAAATCTGGATGAACTTTCTCGGCCAATGCAGGGATCGAACACCCGACCTCCAGGCTAGCGAGCCAGCGTCTTAACCACCTAGCCACCGTGGCTCCCTTACTTTTGTTGTACAAGCTGTCCTACTTAATATGAATAAAAGATTAATTCTTCTGTATTGACATAATCAATGAAATGAAATGGGGTTTAACGTCCTACTGTTCTTGTATCGACTGGGCTAGTGAACAGTGTGCTATGAGGGAAATTTTGTCCGGACAGTGGCGCTAAAGCCTACTCATATCGAATTCCAAATGCTAAGGGAACTTTTTCGTGCCATCCGAACGACTAGATAGCTGTCCTTGTCAGGCCCTCCATCCTTCACCACTGACAAGGGGAAACCACGCCGGAAAATCCCGATTACCTTTCTCGGCTAACACCGAGAGCGAACCCGCGACTTCCAGCGTCTTACTAACTTAGCCACCGTGGCTTCCTTGGCATAATCAAAGTATCTTCCTTTCCCAAACTTCTGAGTGCTAGCTAGGCACCCTGCGTCACGCAACTTCTGAGTATACGCCCCGGTAGTTACTTTAGTAACGATGTCTGATCGGTACAAAAGTAACTAACGCCCCGGGCATCACCAAACTTCTGCACACCAATGTCTATACACTGGAAACCAGTCCAGGTTGCTACCCTAGTATCTCTCATCATAGCTACAGGCATGGAAACCCACATTCAGAACATAAAAAAAATTAAAAAATTTATTAAACAAATTGTACAAAAGGTATGTTTATAAACAAGTACTAGCTTATTGACCAGGAACCAAGTCATGACGTCATCGTCGACAGCTTGAAATTGGGACGTCATATCAAAAATCGAAGTCCAGAAACTCCAAGGAACAATCATGCCCAGTTTCATGAATTGGAAAAGCCTCAGGCTTTATTCGAAGAAAAACATCAACACTGGTAGGCTTGGTCCGAAATTCCTGGTCCAAAAATGGATTGGTATTCTATGTTGGAATTGGGGGAGGGGGCTGAATTAGTCAAGTGGCGTGATTTCGATTCCCTTGTGCATGACAAAGAGTAGGGTCGCCTATTCTACCTCGATGGGTTTCTCCGGGGTTCTTCAAGCGAGCGAATTATGAAATAAAATTGAACCTTATATGTTAGTACCAAAATGACCTAGTTTGTGGGCGTTAAACCCCAGACCTCTCTATTTTTTTCTATTCATCATTAGCATTAACATCGGCCACACATTTTATATTTTTATCGTCAAAACTAAACTTTGCCCACACCCTGGGCATCTGACTGATAGAGATGATGGTTCCCAGACGAATTCCTGCATGCATAACGAGTTGGTTTAACTTAGAACATGATTTCACTAACTGTAACACTGCCTTGTCAATATTCACCACATCACATAAACAAATTAAACCCTCGAACGTTTTACTGTAATTCTCGCTGATATACCCCAATAGTGTTTTGCTGCATTTACCATATTTGAATATCGTCAGCGATTTTAAAGGAATTTCAGGTTTTAGGAATTGTTCTAAAAGAGCGTCACAACCGATTCGCGACATGACACGACATTCGACAACTAAACCCGGATTGGCATTTTTAAATCGTTTCCACATTTCATTCGAGATTAGCGGCATTTCGTACTGTTTCTCGTGCAGTGAGTAATTTATAAAGATTTGTAAAACCTGTAACTTGGTTCTTCCCGGTGACATCAACTCTGTTAGGAGTTGTTCGCTCATCATAGGAGATCTTAAAGAAAGTTGTTTTAAATTCCTGAAGTGTGATATGATTTGTTTTGTAAATTCTCGAGAAGGTAAAATAGGTTCTCGTTCCGACCAACTACAGTCCGTCGGCCAAAATAAGTTGAGAGATTCCAAGTTTTTTATCTTGTTGTTTTGAAGCAGCACCTGGAATATATTGCCGCACCTGTAATTCTCCAGTGCGGGAAACATCGGCCACGAAATAATATTTAGCTCTTTCAATCTGTAGGCCTCCTCTATTAACTTCAACATACACTCGATCTCCTCGTATCCAGGCGCGTTACCATGGAGATGATAATTAGAGGTCATCAGCCCAACCTCCAAGGTCAGCACTTGAAGTCGGCAATTGTCTGTGATAGATTGAAGCAGCTCTTTTGTAGTCTTTTCCAAGCGTCCCAAATGGCCGCGTAATTGCAAATGCAGAATTTGGAAGAATTTTCCGAATGTTTGAATTAACTTTACTGTTTTGCTTGGCATCGCAGTATTGACATCCGAGGTATAGAAATTCGTGCTGCATCCAATCAGTTTTATGTTAGCAACGCTCCATAGTGACGGGTGGTTGAAGTAACCATGGAGACAATGACAGGTCAAGGAGAGGTTATATCGGTCTCCTAGCGACAAATGTTTCATGATATTCACCCATACAATGGATGGTAGTTCGCAATAATCAACTTCATGAACCTCCTCCTCCATCTGAAATGACATAAATTGATATGCGTTGTGACTATGGGATTGTCGATTCTGATTAAAATACAGCATTATGATTGGTAATCCGATTAAAATACAGATCTATGTTTCGTTTCTTTTTTTATGCTTTCGATGACCTACACTACATGAAGATCTTTCCCGTTGTACTGGAAGGTCGTGTCAGGGGTCGCACGAGCGGCTTTAGGCCCTATTACGCCAGACATGGATTAATCAATCAGCGTTGACGTTTCTAGTGGTTTACCTACAGTTACCTGCATCCCACACCAAGAACTCGCTTAACAGACCGTTTCATTGGCTAATCCCTCACTTAAACCAGAACGCGGGTTATAATAACAACTCTTCCAGGTCCTAGTGTAGTAAAGACAAGCAAAACGAAATTTTGAACTATAAAAACGAAACGAAATAGGATCTGTGTTTTAATCAGATTGGGTCTCCTCAACCGGAGCAAATAGTAATGGCGTTGTTGTTTTTTTACAAATCCCATTCCGCATTAGCAAATTATTATTTTATACACAATTTCGGATTACTCCATAATAGTCAGAAAATAGTGTTAAACTTCAAAATATTCGAGAATATTCGAGAAATGGTGTTTAACAACCACTCGACACAAACTAGGTCATTTCGGGACTAACATACGGTTCAATTTTATTTCAATAATTCGCTAGGAGGAAACCGTAGAACCCAGGGAAAACCCACGAGGTTGGACAGGTGACCCTACCCCTTGTCACACATAAGCTTGGAATCGAAACCAAGCCACTTGACTCAATGACGGACCGCATAATCTGGTAAATAAAGAATCACTCAAAAGCTACACAAAATCGATGTTTTTGACATGTAACATGGGGTCACGGTGGCTGAGTTAGTAAGACGCTGGTTCGCTAGCCTGGAGGTCGCCGGTTCGATCCCGGTGTAGGCCGAGAAAATTCATCGGGATTATCCGGCGTGGTTTTCCCTTGTCAGGGGTACAGGACGGGGGACCTGACAAGAACAGCTGTCTAGTCGTTCGGATGGGACGAAAACCGTGTACACATTGGCTTGTACGTAAAAAAACCCTTGGCATTTGGAATTCGATATAACATTAGGCCGTAGCCCCACTGTCCGGGAAAAGTTTCCCCCATAGCACACTCTATGGCGTATGCTCGTCTTCATTAGCCGTCGGAGCAGAACAGTAGGACGTTAAACCCCATTTCATTTCATTTTGACTTGTAACAAACATGGCTAATTACAATGAAGTACAGATTGTAATAATAATCCTAAAGACATAATACAATAGATACAAATTATTAACAAGCTTGTTTAGTAAACTTTACTTGACACAAGTACCAAATAAGTTAGGTAACGAGATAAGCTGAAGCGATTACCGTTAATTTGACAGCAAATTTTATAAAATAAATTTTCCGAAATATTTATGTGAAAATCTTAATTATTTCACAATTTAATATGCCATGTGATACATGTGTGTGATACTATGCATTGGACCAAATGAAATTGGGTTTAGCGTCATACCTTTCTGCTGCAAAGGACATTTTGCCCGGACAGCGGCGCTACGGCCTACTCTTACTTCGAATTCCAACTGTCAAGGGGTTTTTTTTGTGCACGACAATGTTTACACGGGACCGCGGTTTTTCGTCCCACCCGAAGGACTGACTATCCGCTGTCCCTTGCCAGACTCTCTTTTCTACACCACTTCCAAAGAGAGGAGGGGCGGAGAGCACGCCGAAAAAATTACTTTGAAATTTCTCGGCTAACATCGGGATCGAACACCGCTTCTCCCTTATGTAGACGGGACGCAATGAAATGAAATGATATGTAATGGGGTTTTAAGTCCTATTGTTCTATTCCGACTGGGCTAATGAAGACAGACATATACAGTGTGTCAAGGGATCTTTTACGTGCACGCCAATGTATACACGGGACCTATACACTAGACAACTGTCCTTTTCAGGCCCTCCGTCCTGGGACGCAATGAACCAATCTTAATTGGAAAACTGCTGTGGGTTACAATGTGTAATTAAATCGGTTAAATTTTATATCCGTTTGTATGTTATAGTCGATATACGTGAACGGACTAACATCCATGTAGGCCTACATAGAATTTACACAGCTAATAAGTGTACGCCTACAATGTGCTGTGCGTTTTACAAAATACGCCGCGCGTTAAAGAGAGCATGCAAAGAGAGGCGTAGTCTTTCGGATGGGACGAAAATGCGTGATACTGTGTTTATCATTGGCAACACATTAAAATATCCCTTATTGACAGTAGAATTCGAACGGCGCTGTCCGGCTTCATTACCTCGGTCGGCGCAGAGCAGTTAAGTAATGAAAAAGTTATAAACTTATTAACACGGGACAAACGTCCGCCATCTTACTTACCCTGAAACGATTATCTCGTGAAAGTAAGTGTTAGCTGTTATGGCCTCTTCGATCTCTACTTTTGTTTTAGTATGCTCTCAGTTTGTTCCACTAGGCCGAAATACTATTATCAAAATGGCCCTCTGATCACGCTGCATCATATAAAATATTTTGACAGTATATACGTTCTTTAAAAGTAGGCTACACCCAGTTGTCGATAGGTGAAGACTGAAGAGATAGATATGAACGCATTATAACTCTCAGTCGACTTGTCATTTCTATTTATAGATTTATCTATTTTTAGTATCTGAGCAGTTGAGGTTTTCTTTTGACCATATAGGGTATAAGAATTCATGTAGTAATACATTTCAGTGATCAACACATCGCGATATAATTGATTTCTTTAGAAATAAAGAGATATTTTGACCAGAAAAAAAATTTCTTTCAAATATATCCTGGATTTTATATTATATTTATTTAGTAGTGCTGGGTTATGTAGAGGGTCTTGCTTGTTTTTTCGTTGGCTTTTTTTGACAGAGAGAGAACTGCCCGCGCGCGAGAGAGGGGGAGGAGGTAACCACCCCGGAGACCGAAAATCCAAACAACAAACGGGCGAGAGGTCTGGTAATCATATACCAGAAGGTGGGTGGGGGGGTGCAAAACATCCCGGGGAGAGATCTGCCAGCCATACCAGCAGAGCGAAATTCCAAACCCACCGCGCAGTAGGGATATGCCATTTAATATGCCGGAATGTGAACTGCTAAAATCAAGGTGAGAGATTTTCAGGCATCCCGAAGAGAGAATTGGCACACATGAACCCAGAGAGAGACTGTCAATCATCTCGGGGAGAGATTGGCAGAGAGAGAGAGAGAGAGAGAGAGGCATTCCAGAGAGAGGACCGACACCCATGCCAGAGAAAGAAATGAATGAAATGGTGTTTAGCGTCCTAATGTTCTGCTCCTATACTGGGCTAATGAAGACGGGCATACGCCATACAGTGTGCTATGAGACAAATTCTGCCCGGGCAGCGGCAGTATCGCCTACCCTTATATCGAATTCCAACTGTCAGGGGATCTTTTAGGTGCATTCCAATATATACACGGGACCTCGGTTTTTCGTATCATCCGAAGGACTGGACAGCTGTCCTTGTCAGGCCCTCCGTTCTGCACCACTGACAGGGGAAACCACGTCGGAAAATCTGGATGAACTTTCTCGGCCAATGCAGGGATCGAACACCCGACCTCCAGGCTAGCGAGCCAGCGTCTTAACCACCTAGCCACCGTGGCTTCCTGTCAGAGAAAGACTTCCAGAGAAAGACCTCCAGGCAATCCAGAAACCATCAATATGACTGACTATATATTAAACTAATAGAAAAAGAGGTTGCATGTCTATGTTTAATATTGGATAATTACTGAAATAAAATGAAAATGAAATGAAATGGTGTTTAACGTCCTACTGTTCTGCTCCGACTGGGCTAATGAAGACGGGCATACACCAGACAGTGTGCTATGAGGGAAATTTGCCCGGTCAGCGGCACTATGGCCTACTCTTATATCGAGATACAACTGCCAAGTGAACTTTAACGAGGTCACCAATTTATACACGGGATCTCGGTTTTTCGTCCCATCCGAACGACTAGACGGCTGTCCTTGTCAGGCCCTCCGTCCTACACCACTGACAAGCGGAAACCACGTCGGAAAATCCCGATGAAATGTCACGGCCAATGCAGGGATCCAACACGCGACCTCCAGGCTAGCGAACCAGCGTCTTATCCGCTTAGCCGCCGTGGCTACCAGCGTCTTACCCACTTAGCCACCGTGCATGGCTACCAGCGTACTTACTTAGCCACTATGGCTACTAGCGTCCTACCCACTTAGCCACCGTGGATCCGGGTAGTTACTAATAGAAATGTAGATTACTGTCGACAGAACATCTCTTTAATAACCTACAGCCAGTACAGCCATTGATCCCAATAGATATTTTACCAAGACGTCATTCTACACACATACGATAATTTGTCCATAAAAGGAATTTTATCTGACATTTCATATTTAGAAGATTATTAGGCTGGAGATTTGGGCGAATCGAACTGACAATTAAAAGTCGGGTTCAACTTCTTTAGTTGGGGTTTCTTTTGGCGCCATTTTTGAGAAATGTGGCTGGTTGTGGGCCTGTTCAATGTTTAAACATACATTATGCAAGAGCTAAATCTACCTATTGCAGGTCGTTTTTAATTTTCTTAATTATTAATTAGACATTAATTAACTTATCCAGGCCATAATCAACTCTCGATGGCATTGGATTTCTCCGATATTAAATAGATTAGAACAGTTCAGCCATATTTTGATTTAAGCTAAAAATGGAAGAACGAGACTTAGCTTCGAAAAACCAGTACAGTGGTTGAAATTATTGCACACGTTTTGTGAAACCTTCAAAGGCTAATATTTTCGCTCGCAATAGAGTAATTTGAATCAAATTTTCAAATTATTCATTTTACATTATCTATTTTCGAACTATTATAGCAAGAATGGCTAGCTCGTTATCTAAATCTTACACAATGTATCTTTAAAAATTGAAATTAAACACACTCGATAATCCATGTTTGATCTACGAACGATAAAAATCACACGCCAATAAAGTAGGCCCTACATACGGTCTCGGTTTTTCCCATCCTAACGACTAGACACAGTTCCATGCTAAACCCTCCGAAGCTGCATCACTGAAGTATAATTTTTTAAAACCACGCTGTAAAATCCCTTGTTGACCAACACTGCAGCTCCACAAAAATTTGACAAAATGACTTCTGATACGGTAGACCTAGTTGTTTCTTTCGGGTGGCCTGTAAAATGATTTAATTTTAAACCACTGTCTAGGTCTATTTCTTCAGGTCACCTCCAGATTCCGTCTAGGTCGCCAAGGTGTAATCAATAAGGTTAGCGCACATGATTGTTCACGAGGTTAGGGTAAGGGTTAGGGGTTAGGGATTAGCGCTATAGACTTGTTTACAAAAGGAAATGAAATGGGGTTTAACGTCCTACTATTTTGCCCCGAACTGGGCTAATGAAGACGGGCATACGCCATACAGTGTGCTATATATGAGGGCTATTTTGCCCGGACAGCGGCACTACGGCCTACTCTTATATCGAATTCCAACTGTCAAGGGATCTTTTACGTGCACGCCAATGTGTACACGCGACCTCGTTTTTTCATTCCATCCGAACGACTAGACAACCTTGTTTTACATCTCGTGACCTTTGACCAAACTTGGAAGTGGGTATTATAAGGTCCATGGTATAACCAATAACCAATGGACATTGTCTGCGATATCACCTCGATGGAAGCGGACGTTAAATAAAGCTATTTCACACACCAATGGACCTTTATAATAAGCTACAATGTATTATAAGCTCGGTCAATGGTATAACTTCTGTAAACCGATTACGTAATTAATAGTCTACATCTATATATGTTTGTCTGTTTCTTTTATTTTCATTTTAACAAATAGTTGATTCATTATAATTTGAGAAAATGGGCAAAATAAACAAGTTGAAGCACGCGCTAAATAGATGTTTTTGTTGTTGTTATGTTGTTAACGGTAAACAGAGTTGCTAATCTCAACGTTAGATTATCCAGTCATAACATGCACGTGGTAGCTTAATTGATTATCCAGACTTTCAGACTACCATCGCTCGTTGCTACGCGATATTTGATTGGCCACTATTTACTGTACAACCAATAACTGTTGCTGTTAGATAAGGTAAATTTTAGGTGACATTAAACAAAATAGATTTACAGTGATCTCATCGAGGTGTCTAGAAAGAAAAGATTTTTTTATAGGAATTTAGAGACTAGATTGGTTAGTATTTATATTTATAACTTATTTCAACTAGTTGGATAGTTTAGAAAGGGAACCGAGCAGGTTTGAAAAGTATTAAACGTATATTTTGTTCATTTTCGTCGGTATTTTCAAATCGATTCACTTCAGAATTCTGCATCGTACTGGTCCAGTCGTAGTAATGATAGATCTAGTGTACAGCCGCGGGCATGACCAGGATTACAGGTGTGGCATAATTTAATACAAATCCACTATCAGGACTCATTTAATATTACAATGTTTCGTCATTTGAACGTACCATTTGTTATTGGTGGGTACAAATTATTCCGATGTTGTGTCAAGTTGGTTTTAAACGCGCCATCCATTGCTGGTAGGGATGGTCAAGGGACATAACTCGTGTATAATTTACTCGGAAGTAGACCACTGTTAATTCCATCTGTAAATTTATGAGCGGACATGGCTAGCTTCTATTTCATACAGCTTAAAATCTGCACCCTTACAATAAGACCCTCACTCACATCCGGAATAGTTTTCATTCACCATCCAATTGGAGTGTGGATGGCCGAATGAATGGTTAGCATTGTGCGCATTGCATCATAAGATCTGTCAAGTCATTGAGCCAACTGGTGTGGCTTCGATTCCCAGGTTGTACATGAAAAGGTCATTTTGGGACTAGAGTATGGTTCAATTTTATTTCAATAGTTCATTTGCACGTACATGTAGAGGTCATTAGCTGTGTGATAGGAACCAAAGGACCTGCAGAAACCCACAAGGTTGGACAGATGATAGTCATGATATTACTCCTTATCGCGTACAGTCATGAGTGGTGGAATCGAAACCATGTCACTTTTTGACTCAATGACAGACCGTATGATACAGTGCGGTGTGCTAAAAGCTCCACTTACATGTAGCAGTGTTGGAGGTTATATGCATAATGGAGCCACGCTTACTAAGTGAGTAAGACGCTGACTCGCTAGCCTGGGGGTCACATGTTGATCCCGGCGTTGGCAGAGAAAGTTCGTCGGGATTTACAGCGTGGTTTCCCCTTGTCAGTGGTGCGGAACGGAGGGCCTGACAAGGACAGCTGTCTAGTCCTTCGGATGAGACGAAAAACCGAGGTCCCGTGTATACATTGGAATGCACGTAAAAGATCCCTTGGCAGTTGGAATTCGATATAAGAGTAGGTGATTATAGTGCCGCTGCCCGGGCAAAATTTCCTTCATAGCACACTGTATGGCGTTTGCCCGTCTTCATTAGCCCAGTATAGGAGCAGAACAGTAGGACGTTAAACCCCATTTCATTTTATTTATATGTTTGTAACTCACTGGCTATACATATGTCCACCATTGTTTATTGTACACATTGGATTTAATTATTTTATATGTTTGGAGAGAACTTTTATAGGCCTTTGCCTGTTGTTCAATCCAATTCAGTTTATTGAATAAAATATTGTTTAAACTATCTTACAAACTAAAACAAATATGACGAACAGTTCAGTACCGTCGATGTCTAAACTCTACATTCAATTAGCTATTATTTTAAACACTAAACACATAGGACATAAATATTCGATTACATTTCCAATATTACTTGAACAAAGTTATTGTTCATTTCCAATATTACTTGAACAAAGTTATTGTTCATTTCATTTAGTATTCGTCATTCAGTGTCAATTAAAATTAACCGTATGTTAGTCTAAAAATGGGGGGGTTGGGTGACAGAATGGTTAGCGCGTATCATAGGCCTGTCATTGAGTCAACTGACGTGGTTTCGATTCCCCGGTTGTACGTATGGTTCGCCTGGCAAATCGCGTGAGTTTTCTCCGGGTCCTTCCATTTCCCCCCATTGCTAAAGACCTGCTAAAGTGGTGCGGGACGGAGAACCTGGCAAGGACAGCTGTCTAGACGTTCGCGTTCGGATGGTACACTAAACCAAGGCCCTGTATACACATTGGCGTGCTGGTAAAGATCACGTGGTACATGTAGTTGGAATTCGATATAATAGTAGGCCGTAGTGCCGCTGTCAAAATTTCCTTTATAGTCATAGCATGCCTGTCTTCATTAGCCCAGTAGGACATTTAACCCCATTTCATTACATATGTGCATTTATAATACATGTAACTAATAACGATTCGAGAATTTACATTTTTATATGATTTATTTCATGTTTTTTCAGGCTTTAAAAATGGAGCAGGTTTTAGGACAGCATCTCCTGCAGGCCACACAGGCCATGGAACAACAGGTGGATGCCGAAATTGAAAAACTGGACAAGTTTGACGAAGATGATTTTGAAGCATTGAGAGTTAAGAGGATGGCAATGATGAAAAAAATGGCGTCACAGAAACAAGAATGGCTGGCACAGGGTCACGGAGAATACACGGAAATCTCAAACGAGAAGGAATTCTTTGATGAGTGTAAAAAAAGTAAAAAAGTGGTTTGCCATTTTTATCGAGACAGCACATTCCGTTGTAAAATCGTGGATAAACATTTATATATCTTGGCACCAAAACATTTGGAAACCCGATTCCTGAAGCTAAATGCGGAGAAAGCACCATTTTTAGTTGAACGTCTGAGAATTAAAGTGTTGCCAACAATATGTGTTGCTAAGGATGGTAAAACAACAGACTATATTGTAGGTTTTGATGATTTAGGTGGCAAGGACGATTTTTCTACAGAGATGTTGGAATGGCGACTGGGAAATGCTCAGGCTATTAATTATAGTGGTGACCTTTTGAACCCACCAACAGATGATAACGAGGCTAAAGGAAGTGGCCGCAGTATCCTGGGTTACGCTCGCCCAACTCAGAAGAAAACCATCCGTGACGATGGTAATAGCAGTAGTGATGACGATTATTAATATATGACATGAAGTGCACAAAGAATATGCCTGCATTCTAAATACATACATACGCTACATTTCATACAGAAAATGTTCATACAAACAATAGGGGTGATGAAAAAAACATGGAGAACATGCACTGTAACATGGGTATCATTTAATCTTGTGTATCTAGCACTAATGTCTTCCACATTCATTCAATATCAAATCTTTGTTTAAAAAATTGTTTAAAAATAAAATCACCCAAAGTCATCTAATTTGTACTTGTGTCCAGTTTAAAGTTAATTTTGATAATGAATGTCCAATTTACAAGCGTTTAATATCTCAATCACTGTTAATAAGTAAACAACCCAATAGATTATTGATGTTTAATGATTAATATTTGGACAGTGGTCAGGAAATTAAATACTTGTAAATTTGACACTAATCATCAAATTTAATCTGTTAGATTTAAACTGGTCACAAGAATAAATTAGATGATTTTGAGTGATTTTTATGAATTTTTAAACAAAGATTAAACGAATGTCAAGAAAATTAGTGTTAGAAACACAAGATTAAATGATAGCCGGGTTACAGTGCTGGGATCAGACTTTAAAAACGGAAATTACAATCTGCCCCCCCCCCCCCCAAATTTTTTTTCTAAAAACTACATGTATAAATGTGATCATAAAATACACTTATTAATTGCTGGAGTTTTATTTTTCGTAAAGGCTTGATAACTGAACTTGTCACCTCGTTCTGATCTATGAGCTATTTATTTGTCAGCGTTTAGAGTATATAGCTGCACCTGGGCAGACGGACCCACAAGTGAAATATATAATGTGGTATCGTCTGCCAAAAAGCTGAAACTGACCCACTCAATAAAACCGAAAAGTTTTGTTTCATGAAAATGGAAAAAAGCCAAATTTCCCCTTTTGTGAAACAGAAAATCATCACCCTTATTACAATAATCAACCGTTATTATTGTATTATTTATTTCATATAGTGGTCTCATACATCAACATTGTCTGTCTGTACCATGTAAATATTAATGAGCTTCAGTCCATTTCACATTCCTTTAATACAAATTATAATAATACTTTCGACATGCAGATGCCAGATCGGAAAAAATGTAGCAGGTCCCATGTCATCAGGAGATTATCTGAATATTTGGTACTTAGTTAGAGTGAACAAACCCCTCTTAACTAAGGCACCTTAGACACTGCCCTGTCACCCCCAAGAACTAGTAAATGGTTCTATAATACAGACAGCTATTCACATATCTTGTGCGGTTTCAAAGGAACAGCCGTTTCGGTCTGTCCAGGGGTATTCTGGTTAATACATGTATATCACCCTTTTCTCTAATTTTCTTCAAGGAATATTTACATGGACCACATGCTAAAGGGTTGTGTTTAATACATGTCGTCAGTGAAGTGTCAAAAGGGTGTATCTAAGAATTTCTAAAGATTAAGAAATAGAACCTTTTGCATTTCAAAATTTCCACAAATCAAGATACAAAATTTGGACACATGATACCCAGAACAGTTCTAATTGGCGTAGAGATAAACAGCTTAGACAGAAATGTGCATATTAATTGTGAGATTTTAAAAATGCAAAAAAGTGTATTTGACTAATTTCCCGGGATACACCCTTTTGACACTTCACCGACGATGTATTTCATATTTTGGTTTCACAAATTCTCATTGTTTCTAACTCTGTTACAATAATTTCTGTAATAAACAAACCTGGAGATATAAGACACCTGTCACATATATTATCAGACAGAAATAATCACATAATGTATATATTATAATATATGTGTTATGTAATTAATTGTCCCTGACTATGTTTGTGACAGGTGCCTTCTATCTAGGTTCAGTAATATAGTTACATGTATGGTGCTTTCACTGCTTTTTGTTCCTTAAACAAACCAGCAGATTTGTTTGTGTGACTGCCATTTGTTTTTGTTAAATTTAAGATTCACGTCTAGAACACACCTTCATAAGTTACAGTATCATAGAAATTGTTTAATACCGGTATGTAATATATTATACAGGTCACAATTCTATGGAATACAATTACTGCTTATTACTGAGCGACGTTTCGACTAGGCTTATCAAGCAATGATAAAATATGAAAATATAACAAGACAATATATAGATGTACACAACAATACTTAGTTAATGGTGACCAACCAGAGATACCCTTTTAATTACAGGTATCTTAACATATCATAATCCTTAATTTAGGTTGCCTTCAAGGTAATCAGCAGTAATCATATTCCATGGAATCGTCACCTGTATAATACAGTTCAATTACTAAATGCCATTGAAACAATTTGTATAATAAAAGGTTAATAATACATTTGGAATGTTAAAATATGTGTACATGTATATAAACTATTCATTATTTATCTTTAATATTATATTCAAATTAAATTTGCTTTCATTAATCTGTATCTTGTTTTGAATGAAATGAAATGGGGTTTAACATCCAACTGTTCTGCTCTGCTCTGACCGGGCTAATGAAGATGGTCATAACATCCTACAGTGCGCTCGCTACATGTATGAGGGAAATATGGCCGAGAGAGGGGGGTGGTTTAACGTCTACTCGTCTACTCGACACAAACTAGGTCATTTCGGGACTAACATATGTTTTTTTAATTATATTTTAATAATTTGCTTGTGAGTAGGGGACTTTAGCAGTGGGAGGAAATCGGAGGACCCGGAGAAAACCCACGAGGTTGGACAGGCGACCCTACACCTTTTCACGTACAACCGGGGAATCGAAACCACGCCAGTTGACTCAATGACAGACTATATGATACAGCGCGACGTGCTACCCCCACCCTCCCCCAAGTTTAATACGTTTATTATTCCATCGTATATATCTATTTGATGTACATGTATTTTGAGATTGAACTGACATATAAAACTATTAACACTACTCTTATTTCCAAGCACAATGTTTGAGATCGTGCGGAACGAATTAAAATGAAATAAAATGGGATGTAACGTTTCTACACTGACTTGTCTAATGTAGACGAAGCGGAACGAACTAGTAAATATATTTAAACTAGATCATTGAAACTTGATAACAACTGTAGATATATTTATTAATAGATTCATTGATTTCATGCAGATATAGACCTTCACACTGCCTGCTGATCAAGCTCCCATCACACCTAACTAGTTCTCACTACGTTCTGGAAAATGTCGCCAAACGTCTGAAACTGTGTGCGATCGGAGTGAACGTAGTAGCAACTTGTTCACAATTTCCTCCGTTCTGCAATAAGACGGAGGGACAGCGTACTTAAAACGAGATGGACGGACTATGAACGGAATTGTCGTACTATGAACGGAAATACTAGAAACGTGTTAAACGTTACCGTGGTCGAGCATCAGTAAGTTAGTCGTTGTTTATTTATTCCGTTTTTTTCTTTGCATATCATTTATTTTGACTAGTACAGACAAGATAGACATAGTGTGGACTGTTTATGAACGAACTGGGGTCATATTATAGACACTACATGTATTTACAGATTCTACCCCGATCACAACTCTTTTTACGACTTTCTAGGATTGGGTATAGGGTGTTTCAAAGAAGTTGTTTGGTGTGATGGGGGCTTTATAATATGCATATAATGCCGGTCATGCAAGGCGCACATTGTGCTATATAAGCTATATAACAACAGCTGTAACTGCGCATAAACGTGTATTATATAAAATAAATATATTATATGACGTACATACAGAAATAAATCATATATACCATACAGACTATAGAACAACAGGTGTAACAGTGGATATTATACAACATAATGGACGGGAAACGTATTTTGTTATTGGCACTGATATATACTGCTGTAATTCAAGGTAAGATTACATCCATAGGTTTATTGTTTAATTAGTTCCATCAAATAAAATGAGGTTTAACGTCCTACTTTTCTGCGGCGACGTGAAGTTAGTTTGATGTTCGTTGTTCGGTATTCGCGAATAACGAACAACGAGCCAGTTTGTTGTTCGTTATTCGCGAATAAGGAACAACGAGCCAGTTTGTTGTTTGTTATTCGCGAATAAGGAACAACGAGCTGGTTTGTTGTTCGTTATTCACCAGATATGGAATTAGTAATATAATGAAGACACTTTTAGAGAGATTATGCTGGGAGTGGGTTTTCTGAAGTGGTATTTTATTTACTTTGGGGCCATACCCTGTCAGCTGAAACACGAATAAAAGTTGTCCGTCATATCTGAAATAAACCTCTCTATCGGGGTCAGTGGGGAGCGTTCTGAAGTACAGAAACAAGATGATATTCTCTTCTGTAGGGCATCTTTTACTTATAGGTCAACTGTGGCACCATTCTCACGAAAGAAGAAATTTGTCCGCTATACTTGAAACAAATCAGTCTTCTACTAGTTCTACCGGGATTTTGTGATTTGTTCAGCTTGTAACCCGTTCTGGAGTAGGAACCCAGGGAATTATTTGTTCTGAAGTTGTATTTTATTTACTGTGGGGTCATACCCTATCAGCTAAGAAAGGAATCAAAGTTGTCCGTCATATTTGAAATAAATCTACGTACTCAGGTCACTATATATATAGGGGGTGTTCTGAAGCCAGAAGCCAGGGGATTTTTTGTTATGAAGGGCACTTTTAAAGTTTGCCTTAGCAACGTGAACATATATAGCGAAAATTAGCTTTTTCCGCAAAAATTTGAATTAAATCGACTTTTCCCGCGATTTCGGGGGCCTACAGCCCAAACCCTATCCCTAACCCTAACCCCCCTTTTGTATATAGATCTATATCATCAGCTTCCATGTTGATCCATGTACATATATTTTGTATAAAAGTATTCATACGTATCTTCGAGCAAATACTGTTCATGTATAATTCTATTCATACCTCTCATAGTGTAAATATTTTCACATTTATCAAACAGCACATCTAATATATTTATTATCATTATGTAAAACATTTGTTCCGAATTTTATGCATGTTTGGTGTTGTTAAAAGGGCAAAATGTAAGAAAGGCCCCAGGCCTAATTTTCTACCATTTTGAATTAACCCCAGGGGATGTGAAACTTAAGAATTCCCATTCTGATCATCGGCCATTATGGTGCCTCCGTTAGGCATAGTGCCAATTTTGTCCGTGAGTTTAGAGACAACGGTCAGTTAGCTCCCCTACTAATATAGTAGTTGATATATATTTTCAGATATCAAGGCTGCTAAGCTTACAATAACACCATCCCCGAATCTACAGGCAGGTGCTACATCTTTAACATTACGGTGTTCAGCTGATGCTAACTCAAATTATACTGAACTAAGCGCTATTGGGATACACAAAGTGACCAAGGGATCATCATCATTAGTGGCGTTTACAACACTTGATTCGACTGGGTCGTTTATACGTGGAATTGGAATAACAGCACCTAAATATGAAATAAATGTGGCTTTAAGACCACAACTAACCAACAACGCCATACAGGTTATCATACATAATCCCGACTGTCACGATACTAGTGAATATATATGTGAAACAACTGGAGACACTGATACACCACCTTATGTATCTCACTCGACAGACTATAAAAATGTGACAGTAAGTATTTTATGTTTAGGCTGTTGAGCAGTGTGAACTTTTTGTTTTTCGTTTTTCGATATTGGTGAATATCGAAAACCGAGCTACTCTCTTTTCGATAATGACGAATAATGAAAAACAACCATCTCTTTTTTTCGATATTAGTGAATGTCGTTTTTCGATATTCAAACTTGAATTTCAAAAAAGCAGATTTGATAGATGTATATCTACAGAATGCGAAACACATTTGATTAAATCAGTTTTCTATAACGAACTAAAGATGTCATAAATGAGGATGCCTGAGCAGTGGATTCATATAAAAACGTTTTGAGGTATTCTGTAGATATACGTCCATCAAATCTGCTTTTTTGAGATTTAAGTTTGAATATCAAAAAACGAGTAGCTCGGTTTTCGATATTCGCCAATATCGAAAAACGAAAATTGAGCTAACTTCACACTGCCATAATGTTGATAGTGTGAAGCGTGTTTTTCGTTATTGATGAATAACGAAAAAAAAAACCTTCGATATTGTCGAATAGATTTTCAGGGATCGATAGAGAACACCTGAAAGTTATTACTTTGGTAAAGATGATAATGGCCTGATAATCAGAGGCAAGTTCGATAACTCGTTAGCGTAGACATCCTCTTTCTATGTTTAAAAACATTGTATATTTAGATATTGGTTATGTTAAATACGACCGATAGACGATATTACAACGGTCTTAAAAAAGACAATTATTTAGGCTCGGGTTATGTAATATTTATAAATCAATGGTCTAAATGGCACTCTAAACCATTATGTATTGTTTAATGGTCGAGAGCGAGACATTAAGTAATATATTGTAACAATAAGAGGGCCGTGATGGGAAGAGAAAACATACACATGTATCCAAGAAGACATCGCGGTAATAATAAAAATGGCTGATTCACAATCGACAAAATGATTTAAAAAACGTGTAGAATGGATTAACCAGGCGCAAATGACTATCGTTAAATTTTGACTGTTGCTTTATTTTTTAGCGAACGTAATTGATTTGAAATAACAATAACAATTTTTAAAAAGGTTGTAAACATATTGACTCATATTACACTAATATCAGCTTATAAAGACCCCTTTAATGAATATAATTTCAAAATTAAACCTGCTATCAAATGAATGTCGCCGTATAGAATCAACCCTGATTAAGCCGCTTACCAATCATTTTATTCATATTGTGGACGTATTATGCCGTCGCCCCTGTCTGTCGCCCATTTCTTGTATTTGTTTGTTTGTCGTTTACAGGCCTCATTTATTAACGTATTATCTTGAAACTTTCCATACTTATTCTTTGTACCCTAAGGAACATCTCTATCGTTTGGGGCGCATGCCCGACGACCAGGGGCAGGGCCACGCCTTTTTTCTTTTTGTGTGTCTGTGTGTCGTCTACAGGCCACAATTCTTAAGTTATCATCTTGAAAATTTACATACTTGTTCCTTATACCCTAAGGATGATTCCTATTGTTTTTGGTGCATGCCCTCCCCCCAGGGACAGAGCCACGCCCATTTCTTGTATTTGTTTGTCGTCTATAGGCCGTATTTCTTAACGTATCATCTTGAAGCTTTGCATACTTATTCGTTGCACACTAGGGAACACCCCTATCATTTAGGGTGCATGCCCAACCCCCAGTGACAGTACCACTGTCTGGGTGTCGCCCGACCCCCTTGGACAGACCCACGCCCAATGTTTGTGTGTCTTGTGTTTCGCCTACAGGCCGCAATTTTTAATAGATCCTTTTGAAACTTTGCGTACTTATTCTTTATACCCTAAGGCTTGCTTCTGTGTGTGTTGCCTACAGGCCACGATTCTTAATGGATCGTCTTTGAACTTAGTACATGTAT